AACCTAGCTGGCTAGCTGTATGATAACGTTAGCTAAAGCTAACCTTGCTGGCTAGCTGTATACTACATGCTAGCATAAAGGCTTAGCTCAGGATTCTGACTCTGGAATAATAAATAATAGCAGATGTAGTTTTCTGTTTTTTGTAAACACCTGTATGGCCTTTCACACGTTTGAAATAATATAAACAATATCTATTACATTTTTGACTGCCTTTTTTTAATATAGCCTACACAGTACTTGTACTTATACTTATACTTGTACTTTCGATACTTGAGTAGCAATTTTTGAAATACTTGCAATACTTAAGTACCCAAAAAATTGAGTACTTCCGTACTTCCACTTAAGTATGGAGTTGATAGAATACTTCTACTTTTACTCAAGTACATTTTTTTACATTGTACTTGTACTTCTACTCCAGCACTTTAAACATCTCTGACAAGAAATAATGTCATACATACAACTGCGATGTAAGAATAGTTAAAAACCGGTCGGTTGTACCACAACCCCTCCTAAACGACTCGCTCTAGTATAAAAAAAAAAGCTCCTTCATTGAGATAAGTTCACTTGAGCTGAGGCCAGCGTGTCACAAACCGGGTTTTTTGCTCTTTGCTCGCTTCCCAGCGTGAAAAAACCTCCGACTGGTCACCGGTAACAAGGACCGAGCCCTCAGAGCCAACACACACCGGTCAGGGAACGCAGCGCCCGCTGGGCCCTGAGTGGAAGTGTCGGGGCGGGGGGGCGTTTGCACAAATTGGCACCCCGTGTCACCTTGTCAACACCTTTCAGCCCCACACCTGGAGAGCCCCGCCCACCCCGAGCCGACCAATCAGGACTTAGACAAATAAAATAAGGAGAGAGAACCGATAACCCGTTTGATTTGAACCATAAAAATCTTATATTCACCACCTGAACTCCAGTTAAACTCCTGTGTGAGTCTGCCAATAAGATCCTATCACAGATATCTCTGTATCTAAATATGTTTTGTATGTCTCCCCGCATGCAGGAAAAGGTAGGGGGTGATTTAGAAATGAGATTTCAACAGAATAGCGCTCCAGCTGAGACTCTACTCTCTCAATATCACAGCATAGGAAGCAATGTTGTGCAGGTGAGCGGCATTTTTGTGTTACCGGGAGTTTATATAATGAGGGATAAATAATAAACCGAGCCAAGAACAGTCACTTGTCAATAAGTCAATGACTTTTTTTTGGTGTCATTTAGAGAATAGGAGAGCAACAGACACCTAAAATATCATAAATGTGCAGTTTTGTCACGGTTGATGGTTCCGACTCCTGGTTTTGACAGTAATAGTCAAGTTTTTTTCTGGAAAACAATCAGAGACTGAGGTATAAATACAACTTACCAAACTGAAAAATAAGGCGACAAACAAGCTGTTTTGTATTTCCAGATAACTCTGAATTTATCAGGTACCTGTTGGATTTACGAGGGTACATCTATGGCGGGG